TGTTATAGCAGGGATACCCATCACCATGCCTTATTCTTCTCATCTTCTACCTCACTTGAGCTCCAAGCATATACAGACTCTAATTTTGCAGGAAATCCAAGTGATCGCAGATCTACCACAAGATTCTGTATTTTTCTCGGTGATTCTCTCATCTCTTGAAAAAGCAAGAAACATAAATTAATCGCTCAATCAACTACGGAAGCTGAATACCAGGCTATGGCACAAACCACCACCGAGATTGTTTGGCTACATTGGCTGCTCGCAGACTTGGGTGTCACTATCTCCACTCTTACTCCACTTTATTGTGACAATAAGAGTGCCATTTATATTTCTAAAAATTCGAAATTTCATGAGCACACGAAAAATATTGAAGTTGATTGCCACTATGTTCAACAAGAATATCTCGCAAGCACAATCTCCTTACCATAAGTGCCTACCACAGCACAACTCGTCAATTTCTTCACTAAGTCTCATCCCCCGCATCATTTCTCACAGTTTGTTTCCAAACTCTCCATGATTCCTCTCAAATCATCTCGAGTTTGAGGGGGAGTGTGAACAGACATGACAACTACAACAGATATAGAAACTGGATATTAAGATCCGTCAGTATCTAGTTATATGTCATCTCTATATAGAAACGGTATCCTATAGTTTTAGTAAGTATTGGTTGTACGTTCTTTATAAATACACAATTGTATTGTAATCCTATGAACATTACTGAATACAGTGAAAGATTTTCTCTCACAGAGGAATATGCTAGTTTTTTTTAGTTTTTGAAAAATACTTGTGGGTATTTTAAAATAATAATATGGTTTTGTGCAGTTTTCCTAAGCTATATTTTGTAGAAAGAGAAAGATGTGCGTTTTTAATCCCACATTGAAGAGGAGAGTGTGGATTGAGTGATATTTAAATGTAGGCATTCTTATGCCTTATACTCATAGTACTAAGGTGAGAGTGATGGTGCATATATGGAGCACGCAAAGTGTGCAATGCACACCACGTGCATGTGCACAAGGGCGTTTGATGGTACACTTTTCATGTAACCACTCTTGCAGTAAATGGGCAGCATCTTGGAGCTCTATAAAGGGGCTTTTTTTCCCATATGAATGACACTTTTCCAACACTTTTTCTCACACCATTCTCTGGAAATTTTCAAAGAGAATAATAGAGCAATCACTCCCTCTCTCTACTTGTTTTTCTCTTTTTCTTTCTCTAAGTAACCCTTTCTCTTTTTCTTTCTCTAAGCAACCCAAGACTGGTGTTTACAATGGGCTTCTAGTTAGGTTGCATAGAACCTTGAAACATTGGAAATTATACCTCTGTTTTTTTGTATCTCGAGGACGAGTTATCTTTCTTATGCACACCTATTACTTATTGAATGGGGGACAAATATCGCCTTAAAAAAGTACACTGCGTGCCCGAAACAATAAGGAAGTTAGATCCCTTTTGCTCTTATTTTTGTCCCTTTTAAACCAACCGATTTTTTCAACATGAATTTGATCTTCTTGGGTTGACAAGAGTGCCTAGGAACTGAACTTATTGGATTAGTTACTCTCATAACCCACTTTCAGTTTACTTCTAAAAGTTGACCATGAGGAGCCCCTGCCGGTGTCAGAAAGAAGCATTGGTGGCCCCATTGGATGAAGTTCTTGGTGTCACACACACACACATATAGGGGGGGGGGGGGTGGGGGGGGTTGCAACTCTAATTTCACCGTTGATCAACACTACTAGCTTTGGCATGTACGTGCGCATGTGTATGTGTATGTGTGTGTGTATGTGAGAGAGAGAGAGGCATCATGCAATAGTCCAATCAACACCAGTCTAGAAGACTTTAGTACTACTTCAAGCCATGGGCGAGCTCATTAGGTTTGGCTTGGCTGGGACTTTCTAATAAGCTTGGGCCCATTTATTTCTGATTTCGTGTCCACCGTAAGGGTGTAAAAAAACCACTTGAGGGCTTGTTTACAACGCAAATCTGAGAGATTTTTAATGAAACATCCCCAAATTTATGCTCTAAATTGTTAAAATTAAAGATCGGTTTAGAATGATGAAATCCTTCAAATTATGGTTCAAAGAGAATCATGATCTTAAAAGATCAAGATTCTATGATAACCACCCCGAGATTCAGCTTTAGATCACATAAAATCCATTAAAAAACCTCAAATAACATAAACAAATAAAAAAATACCTTAAAAAGTAAAATAAAAAAAAAGAAAGACTTAGTTGAATATGGTTCCTCTGTCCTAGCATAGGGAATTGGTGGTCCGAATTTGACTGGCGGTTGAAGCACTTTCATCTTCGACCCTTACAACTTTACTTGAATTTAAAAGTACCTATGCCATTTACATTCTAGGGTTTTTGGCTTGAATAAAATTTTGATTCTAAAATTAGGGTTTTGAATGTGAAGAGAATTAGCTAAGGTTTTCTTGATCTAGGGTTAGGGTTTGCATTCACCTAAGGTTTAGGTTAGGATTTTCTAGCGTTTTGGCTAACCTAGGGACTATTTCTCAAAATTAGGGCTTTTTGGTATCCAGAGTTATCACCAAAAATTTGATATAACTGGCTGGATAGTGCAATTCCCATTGTCTAGCTCATTTCTGGTTTGGACGACATAGTTCCCATCGTTTAGGCCTTTTTGGCCAAATGACATAGTGTCCGTCATATGGATAAAAATAGAATTTTTAATGAATAAAATTGTTCGCGCCATAACTTTCAAACTTTATATAAGATTTTGGCGCTTTTTAAACTATGGGAAAGCCCATGATCTCTACGATTTAGAATCAATTTTGGTCCAATTTTGGTAGATTTTGAATCAATTTTGGTCCAATTTAGGTAGATTTTGAGGGGTTACAAGGCTAGAACCTGTAAAATATCAATTTTTGGGTATGGGTTAGTTTCTTATGTTTATTAGGCTCAGGGGTGCCTAGGATGACTAGTTTGGTAGCTTAAAGTTTAGGAATTTAGAAAATTAGCCAATTCAAATTGGGTGTCTACCGTTGTCCTCTTTGGCTCACCTATTTTGGTGGGCAACAAAGAAGTAGATGCATGTAAACATTTTTTTAACCTTCCTCTAGTAATACGAAAAGGTTGGATGGTGCACTAGCCCATTTTTGGGGCATTTGTACGAGTCGCCACGTAATCCCACCTAGGAGTGGCAATGGGTCAGGGCTGCCTTGGCCCTACCCTAGCCGTAGTCTTAATAGGGCCAGCCCAAACCCAACCCGAGCGTAGCTCTATAATGGCTAGATTGGACAGCGTTGCATCGGGCCAAGTAAAATCGAAAGATAAGAAAAGAAAAAGGGTGCAGTTGCCATACGGATGCCTCCATAGCTGTAAAGGTAAGGTGTGCCTTCAAATTTTATCATGGTATATAATTTTGACGTAAAATGTCATTGGGATTATCTCAAAATCTATTTTATAAAATTTTAAATTTCAAAAATGGTTAAAATCAAGTAGATCTATAAATATATGAAAATTTTGAAAATGGATGGTAGATAATATGTTGTAAAATGCACTATTTCTGAGACTTAAAATCTTTTTATTTTTCATGATCATACATCTCGATGTTGAGATAATCAATCAAAGGATTTTTCAACATTAAAACTACATTTTCCGATGGACTTTTGAAGCGCATCCGTAGCTCTTCATTATAAGGTTGCAACCTTATATAAACTTTTTCCAAAGAAAAAACAAAGAAAAAGAGAGCCGGGACAGGCAGAGCCGAACTTAAAGTTGGACATGGAGATATAGCACGGTATATACTTTTTTTTTAATTATTTGTCTTTTTACTAGCTAGAACACTTACAGAGATCCAAATATAATAACCTCAATTCAAAATAAACAAATATCAATTACAAAAGAGTTTTTCACTTGCTGCTACTAATAAAACTTCTTTTATTCAATAAACAAAAATCACATAATAATATTGGGAACAAGAAAACACAAGATTGTAAAACATACAGTAAATTGCTAGAAAATTACCTCAACTAGATTTTACACATCCCACTCTGGATCTCCTCTTCAATAGCACACGAGATCAATGGTATATCTCAAATTTTCAAAGTATGAAGAAAACTTAGGCTACAACGCTTTATCAAATCAGAGAGCAATGGTAAAACTATAACTCAGACTAGGCTTCAATGTCTAATATGGAACGTGCCCCCTCTTGGCATGCCTTAATTTTTATTATTATTTTGATCTCTTAGTTATTTTACAGTATGAGTTTGTTTGTTGACCTTTTCTGACACTGGGTTTGCTAACCTCTTTCAATATTAAGTTTGGGGCTGATGGTTTTTCTCAAGATTGGATCTTGGATAGCGGCTTTCTTCAATATTGGATCTTGGTTTTGTAATTTATTTATTTTCCTTTTTTTGTTTCTTTTGTTTTTTGAGTGTCTGGATTTGAGTTCGTTGGGCTTATCAAGATTGCATTTGTTGTATCCCCAATTTTGGATCTAGTCATGGTGTAATTTTTCAACATCAAATTCTAGTTACGCATAAATTGTCAAGTTCGGATTCAGATTTGCTGGCATTTTCATTGTTGGGTTTTAGTTTCTATATTCTTTGAAATTTGGTTTAGGTTTGTCTGCCTTTTTCCATATCGACTATTTCAGTTTTGTGAAAATATTTCAAGCTGAGGTTTTTGTTTTTGTGAATTTCCTTCCCCTTGGGCTTTTCTCTTTTCTAAATTTGGATTCTCGTAGTTTGCAGTTAAAACATCAGTTTCCTCATCCCAGTCAGTCTCAAAAGTTTTGGCCATATTGATTATATATCATTGAGGCTTCCCAAGTACGGCCTCATGTAAGAATCATCTACTTGAAACTTTCACTGTCACGGTTATTGTTAATCAATTTACATAAATAGAACTCGGTCCAACAAATTGGAATGTTATAATGTGCAATATCTCAACTGGTATTAAAAGCCAGCAGCAGATATTCAAAACCACGATTAGAACTAGAGCAAAGTTGGCAATCTCAATCACAATACTAAGGGGCCTATAAAGCAGTAATATTCAATCTTTCAAGATTGGCATTCTTGGAACCTTTATTCATCTTTGTATGCATTGTTACAATAATTTTAGGACTCTACAGAACATGCTTCCAAATGCTTGAGTTTCCTTATTCCTGCCAGGGTTTTAGACATTGACAATGTGGTTGGTTGAATACAATAATCATAAGGGCCATTTCTACAGCGATCAGGAACACTAAACTAAATCTGTTAGCAACTGACGCAGGGTTATTGTTGCTCTACGAGGACTGTTTTGCTTCAAGAAGAATGGAGGAGTACGGGGCAACATTGTAAGCATCTTTAATGCCAGTAACACCATCCTGAACAAAATCGTCTGGAGAAAGAAGATTGGTGTCGATCTGCACAAGGGAGGTAGGAATCACAAGAATGATAACGCATGAAACTAATGGCACCAAAGAGATTATATGATGATGTAGATGCAATTAATAATTACTCTACATACAGAAGAAAAATTCATTTGTTTTTAACACATTAGGATGCTGTAGTGATCACATTCTTCTTCTTTCCAATAGGCAATAAGATATTATAACCACAGAAATAGGTCAAAGGATTGGAATATACCACTCGAAACCATTTTCTTCCAAGAGGAGGTGGGGGCATCACGGCATTGACAAAGTAGTTATGTGCGTTGAAAGCCAAGTAGATGTCGCTGCGAAGCTTGCTGTCATGGAGCCTAAAAGAGAATGAAGGTGAGAGCAATGACAATTTTAGATTGCAGTCAGAATATGTATAGAGAAATGCTTGTTAGATTGCAGTCAGAATAAAGAAAGGGAAGCACATGAATTAGACGCTACCAAACTTGAAGCTCCCGATATGTATAGAGAAATGCTTGTTAGATTGCAGTCAGAATAAAGAGCGGAAGTAGAATAGAGAACAACAAAATTTTTGAAGCATTAAAATGTAGAAGGAAATTCAAATATCTTATGTCAAACTGTTTAAATGCTTTGAAGAGCACTGTTGGTTCAGAAACAAATGAAGATCTCTTTTCCAAAAAAAAAAAAGGAGAGGGAAAGAGAATATCTTAACTTACGTGAAGGCAAGGAATTTGCTGTTGTAGTTGTCCCAGTTATTCTCATGCCAAGTAATATCACTCTGCACAAGACAATGATTTGACAAAATATTTCATTAACTGAGAAAGGCTGAGTAGATACATTTGTTGACCATTGCATCACACTACTTCTCATCATTTTTACTCTTCTGGCAACTAAAACGATCAAGAAGCTCACATAGGTAACAATGCCCCTTCATTAAATGCCAGTACATTAATTGTTTTCATTGGTATCATACAGGCCAATCCCCAAAGTGCACTTTCAACCTAAAGAAGATTTATTACAAAAGCTACGGAAAATTGTTTGCAATAACATTTATTTCCTAGTACCTACCAACTCCCAGGAAGTTCAGGATAAAGGATTCACGTGCTCAAGATTGAGAAAACCTAATAAATTAACAAATTTATCCTCATAATCTTCCAACAAATTATGCACACGCATCTACAGTATTCATCAGATGTTTTCCCTTCACAGAAACATATCTCAAGAAACAATGAGTTCATAGGTCTTCCTACATTAACTTAGTAAGCTTCTGGAGCTTCAAGACTACAAATCCAGATACGGCACAGATGTGGATTGGAATTTACTCCAGCAGTCAAGTAACAATGCAAATCAATCGCTTGTGATAAAGTGCCCTATAGATGTTAGCTCATCGAGCACTTAAACCTGAAGCCATATAATGTGATGGACTCATTTCCAGCATCGCACATGTGGTTGGAACATGTTTATATTTTTGTATAGTGTTGCTACACACACAGGCATGTCTCTACACATACATACACACACACAGACATGAGTACTGCATGTGTAATGCGTGCAAGCATGCATATGCTACAGATAAGTGTGTTATGAGTGTGTCTATGTATGTATGCCTGCATGAATGCATTGACATGCACAGTACATGCTCATTCTTAAATAGCTTCATTAGAGAATATCGAAGGTCATCCAACTACAAAACCCCATGTTATAAAAAGTACAGCAAATTAGGTATTCTGACAGAAAACTTCAAATAAAACTACAAGATATTTGAACTGGGAACCAAGAGCTACATCACTCCTAATAGAGAGTATGTATATTTACTCCACATATGTTGTCCCAATGGCATTCGTGGGATTTTTATCTTTTTTCAAAGCACTGATTAGTCTATTTTAGGACTGATTGGTCCTTTTGTAACTTCTGTAGGGCAAAGTTGTTTTGGTAAGTTATCATGTGTACAAATACATAGAAGACCAAGTCCAACATGGCTCCTTTGCCTCTCTCCTTGCATGCTCTCCCTCTTACCTTCCTCTCACTCTCAACGTGCTTTTTCTCCATAACTCTCTCTTGAATTATTATTCCTAGGGCAAAATCAATTTGCTCTTATACAAACTGATGCAGCCAAAACTAATAACTTCTTGATTTTGAAAAGAAAAAAATATCAGTTTGGACTGCATGAACAATGCAGGAAGACATTCAAACTACTGGGGAAAAAAATGAGACCTGGGACATTGTTGATCTCCCCCCTGGAAAGAGGGTGATGGCAAAATGATGGATCTTCAAGTTCAAGGCATGATGGAAGCAAGCTAAAATCACGTCTCGTCATAGACCGACTGAAAATCAACTAGCAGATATTTTACCAAGCCGGGGGGCCAGGGCTGCCTTCGTACCATTCTAAGCAAGTTGGCATGCATGATATACACACAACGACATAAACTTGAGGTGCAATGTAGAGAGTACGTATATTTACTCCGTATATGTAGTCCTAAGGGCATATGTCAGATTTTCATCTCTTTTCGTACTGATTTGTCATTTTTTAGGTCTGATTGGTCCTTTAGTAATGTTTGTAGGACAATGTTGTGCTTTGTAACAGATTATGTATAAATATACATAATAGACAAACCCTAGGCCTGTCTTTTGGCCTCCAACGTACTTCCCTCCCTCTTCCTCTGCATGCTCTCTTTCTCTTCCCTTCTTCTCACTCCCAATGTGTTCTCTCTATATTCTCTCGCGCTTTCCATGGTGGTCACTCATGCCATATTCATCTATCCATTTAGAGGTTAATTGTTTATGACATTGAGAATTCCTTGATATTCATTTTTCTTTGTTAATAATTGAAATGCTTAATACTCATTATACTTATCCATAATTAGTGTGCAGCTTTCAGACTACAAATTATTTAACACTTGCCAGAGTTCCTTTTCGTCTTATTGTAAAAAATCATGTTTACTCAGCTAAAGTACGGCAGTAAGTCTCAACGAGCACTTTCCGATAGATTGATTGACCCAATTTACTGTCTCATTTTTGTCACCAAAATTTCAATGACATTTTATCAGAGAAAATGGAAACTACAGCATTGAGACTGGAGAATCTTCCACAGCATCTCATGCAGAAGGAATACTACCATTTAATAAAATCTGAATATGTGTATGTATCACATAATAATGACAAAGACATCTTAAAAAAGCACGAAGTTTTGCTCATATTACCTTGTCAAGAAATTTCTCACGTCCCAAAAGAGGATTCCTTCTACGGAATTTAATTATTTCGGAGAAAAACCTGAAGTGATCCTTTCTCTTCTCCTGTAGCTACTTTTTGAAAAAGAAAAAGGACATCATGAGTAATTTTAAACTGCTTTTAGAAACAAATTATAAAATGAAGCAAAAATAGTTACCTGTCCCCATTGGAAATGGTTGATGGATGTATCATGCCCATAACTGTTGTTGTTCCCATAGCGGGTGTGGCCGTATTCATCTCCCATTAAAATCATTGGTGTTCCCTATTGATTTCAAATTGGGCCATCACATCAGAAAAACAGATATGTAAGGGCAGGGTTATAAAGTATAGCCATCGATTTTTGATAATAAAAATATTACCATGTTAAGGCTTAAATAAAACACATTAAAGATTTTCGGGCCTTATACACAAAGGCCTCTATCACCATGGTTATAGCTCACTGCTCTAGGGAGGAACTATAAAGTCCTCAAAGTCGGCCATGTAACACCTTAATCAGGTTAACCTTCACACTCATGATGAGACTTTTAAACAAGACTAGAGACCTTACTTACATGTAGTGTTTCAAAGGAGTTTCTTCCTAGTATATGTCCTGTCAAACACACATCATCTCACATGGGATTCAATAGACCTACTTTGATGACTAGGTCTACCTTCACACACCAATGATAAAGTGTATCCATAGTCGTTTTGATAAATCAATTATTACATGCTTAAGGAGAGGGTATGACGTCAAAAGGCGACAAAAACCATAACATGGTTAGCTGCATCTAAAGGCATAGCAACAAGAAGTCAACAAGGAGAAGAATGAAGCCAAAAAATGACACTTGCAATAGAAGACATAATGTGGTACTAGATTTTATTATCAACTTGGTTATCATACACCATTCTTGCTCTTTCAGGGGACTAGAAAAAAGCCAAGAAAACACAATATCCGGTGGTAGAGTGACAAGCAAAACCATCACTTAGATCAATCCAAGGAAAAGCGCCCAACTGAGAGTGCTTTTAAGATAGTGTGAAATGTCATGAAGCGCTGACATGTAAGTTCAGCAAGGATTGGACTGTAGGATGAAGAATCCATCATGCACAAAGAGCCAAGCATTAGACTTCACTATGCCATCAACAAGCCTACCATCCGTAAGATGGAGTAAGAAATCTCAGTAGATCCATCACATGAAATTGGGATAGAATGGACAAATGTATTGGATAGAGTGGTGAGTTAGCTCCCAATACAAGTGAAGATTTAAAAAAGACCAGTACGATGCTCAGTATGTTCGATGACACGTGCTGGTTCCTGCTCTAAAGAAAGTAAGTTACATCAACTTATTTCTGAGGATTGTAGGCATATTGATGATATTCGTGACTACCACATGACCACAAATTCCTCAACCCCTATCTAAGAAGATGAAAATCTTAAATGACTGAAATAATTGAGGACGGGCCCAGCGTGGACCTTTAAGATATTCTAGAGCAAGACTTCCATGGTGCATTCCTAAGAAATTAAAGAGGGAATGTCGTGTCGATATTTCCAAAGAGAAATAGCAAACCGCATATGCATTCTACTTTATGAAGTTATTCAGGGGTATATTTATAATTGCGTATAATAATGTACTTATTCTCATATTTGTAGTTTCATGGTCATTATGAAGGACAAATACGCAATTGCTAGATTTTTTTGTACCCTTATATAACTCTTAATAAATAAGGGTTTTGAAACAATATAAAATATTCCTCTTGGAGTGCTGCCCACTCATGAACGAATTAGGGGTCATGTCACTTTTCTCTTTGCTTCCTCCTCACCCTTCTCCACCTACACTAGAACTTGTTCTTCTCTCTCAAGTATTCAATTTGATATTTTAACATGGTATTAGAGCAAGGTTCGGCAATTAACATGACCCATTGATCAAAAGTATCAAATTCTCTCTATTATCTTTTTTCTTTTTTTGTGAGAAGTTATTATCTTTTTCCTTTGTTAAATTCTTGATCTCTTTCTTTGTTGTATCCCAATATCCATTATTGTTATCAATCAATATCATTATAGTCACACCCATAGTCACTGGAATCTCTCCACCAACCTCGCGATTCCGGTTCCGAAACCGATTCCGCGTTTCCGTTAAGGAATCTCCATGGAAACGGTTTTTCAAAACCAAGGATATTCGATTCCTTAATTTCGAAATCTCGATTCAACACATCTTTAGAAACCATTTTTTGGAACCAAGGAAACTCGATTCCTTAATTTCGGAGTCTCGATTCAACACATCTTTAGAAACCATTTATCGGAATCAAGGAAACTCGATTCCTTAATTTCGGAATCTTGATTCAAAACATCTTTAGAAACCATTTATCGGAACCAAGGAAACTCGATTCCTTTATTTCGGAAACTGGACCAACACATCTTTAAAACCTTGATCTCATTAATTGTGGGTAGACGTTCCCAAATATATCGAATATGGATTCCAATAAGGATTACATTTTGATTCAAAAATAAATAAATTCAAGTATCAAAGAAAAAAAAAAAAACGGGAAAATTGCATAAAACCCCCAAAAATGAACTTTCCAAGCAATTTACCCCCAACCTAACTTTTACTAGCAACTCTTTTCCCAAAACCATGTTTTCTAGCAAATACACCCCCAACTCAAAAAAAAAAAAAAAAAAAGACTAAAATACTCCTCCCTTACCTCACATGTTGACCATGGCGGTCCGACGCTTAACTCACTGATTTGGAACGGTCGGGCACTTCACCATTAATCATGGCGGTCCAGAGTTTGGAAGAGGCGGTCCGGCATTTGTTTCTAGATTAGTGAGCGGTGCGGCATTTGTGAGCTACGGTCTGGCAAAATTGATAATTGTGTTTGGAATAGGCGGCCCAACAGTGTATAGTTCCGGTCAGGCAGAATGGATGGGTCCGGCAATATACAACCAAGGTCCGACGTTTCCTTTTATTGGGATCCGAAAATGATTTGTTATGTACGGGAAGGGTATTTTCATAAAAAAAATGAACTTTTTGTATTGGGGAGGTATTTGATATAAAAATTGATTTTTGGGAAAAATATGTTAAAAACATTAGGGTTGGGTAAGTGCGTAGAAATTCTATTTTTTGGGGTTTGATGCAATTTTTCCAAAAAAAAAAAACCAATTCAAAGTACATAATATAAAATATCTATGATGGTTATGCTCTTCCTAAAGGAAATTGGAGTAGAAATCTTCTTTCGAATGCTTCTAGTGGTTGCAGGATTTCATTATTGTACTTGTGCAACCCTAGATGGATTTTACTGTAAATTTAAAATATACTAGTAAATAGAACACATACAATTAAATGTAAAACCATGGCGTACACATAATCCTATTTTGTCTTTATAATAATGAAGTCAAAATCACAATTTAGAAATACTTATGTTTTGTATACAATGACCGTAAGCTCAATAGTCAACACAATCACTATAAAATTTGGGAAACCTTCGAATAAGAGACATCCAATATAGGTTCTAAAGTTGATAAGGCTCAAGATGTGCTTGGGGCTTCATTCTCCATAGAAATGAAATCTTGATTCCTGCTAGGGGTCGTCAAACGCATTCCATAGTCCATATTATTGTAAATCTCGATCTCAAACTAGCGTGGATCTCTGATTCATATACTTCAGCAACTCGATTCCAAAGATGTCAAAAATTTGATTCCGCATAGTAATGAATCTTGCAGTGTATCAAAAAGCGCTAGGTGGGTCCTAGACAGCCTCGGGGGTCCAGGCCGCCTAGGCGGGCGCCCAGAACCTGAGCGGCTACCTAGTTAAAAAAAATAAAAATCTCAATATACCATATTTCAAGTTGAAAAAGAAAAAAAAAAGATAGAAGTCGAGAAGAGAATTTTGATAATCCATATTGTTAAAACAGTAAACTGCAAAACCATACAAGTGTAGGATATAAAAGTGAACACTCAACACAACAGAAATATACAGAAATTTAGAAAATATACAGTCTAACAAAAGTCAACATTCATGACTCAACACAACAGTCAACAGACTCAACACTCAGCAGTCAGCACCAAGAGGCAAGAGTCCTCAGTCATCATCATCATCATCATCAGCATCAGAAGGAATATCAATATGGCAAGCCTCATCATATGCATCAGAGTCGAGGCCATCATCATCAGAGTCATCTCCCTCTTCAATATGACGCTCGTCCTCCTCTGTTTCTTCTGAATCTGCCTCTTCCTCCTCCTCTTCTTCTACCTTCCTCTTATTAGTATGTGCAGTCTGTGCAGATGAGGCCCTAGGAGTCTTAGCTGCTCTACCCTTTTTTTGTGCTTCTCTGAACTCAAATATTGTATAATTTCCTCCTTGGTAGCCTTAGGAACATTTTTACACGGGGCAACATCCCCCGTCATACCGGTAAATGCCCCCATTAGTATCCTTTCCACAATAATTACATTTAATACGATTTTATCACTTGGATTTGGGTTATAACCATACTTCCAACCCAGATCACCACTCCGACTAGAAACTAGAGAAGATACTTCCATAGAACAAGGTTTATTTTCATCCTTTTTTGGTTCTTCAAAATTCAAAAGATGTCTAATCTCATCTCGAACTGCTTCAAGAACCTTTGTACAAGAAGCAACATTACCTCTAACACCAGCAAGGTGTTTTTTGAATCTGTTAATACCCCATTGGTATCTTTTTCACAAAAATTACACCTTATAAAATTTTTATCATTTGGTTTTGGGCTGTACCCATTCTTCCAACCCGGATCACTTTTTCTAGGAGTAGCAGAAATAGATCTATGACAAGGATTTTGTTCTTGTATTTGTTTTCCATAACTTAAAACTTGCTTAATCTCCTCCTTGATAGCTTCAGGATCATTTTTGCAAGGGGCAACATCCCCCTTAATACCGACAAGATGTTTCTTAAACCGGTTTATGCCTCCTTTTGTATCTTTTTCACAAAAATTACATCGAACGCAATTTTTGTTATTTGGATTCGAGTTGTATCCATATTTCCAACTCGGATCTCCACTCCGACGAACTCTTAAAGAAGACATGTAAAAATAAAACAAGCAATCTAAAAAATGCACTTACTTTGGTTGCTTGAACTCCAAACTTTGAGACGATGATTCGATCCAATGAAATGTAGTTTTTTGGAAGTTTCAGTTACTCTAAAAGGGGTTCTGGTGGGTTTAGGGTTCAAATGAACCTAAAATCCATCATTCTTAACTTTTATATCTTTGAAAAACAATGAAAAAAAAGAAAAAATAGTTTTCCCTCTTGGCGGG